TCTATCTTTGAGGCAATTTTTTCATGTTCCTTTTCTTTTCCTAATGCTTTTTGATGAATGATTCTTAATTTTAGTGAAGCATAATTTATCAATTTTTCTTTCTTGATTACTCCATTTTGTCTGAAGAAACCCTTGGTTACTCTTAAGACCATGAGGATATTCTATACTTTCTTTTAAAAAATTTGTTTCAGATTTTACTTTCTAATCTATAATCCATCTTAAATTAAATTTGATGCACGCACAGAGTAGTCGCTTTTTGCTTTCCCCATGTGAGGGTACAGTCTCTTGGGGTCCTCTGCTGCAAAGACATTTTTGCTACCACTGAGTTGCAGTGGGGCCTTTGTTTTCATCAACTAGCCATCTGTGCACGGATCTATTTCTCACTCTATTATCTCCTTTTGGTCTGTATCTATCATGCTGTTGCCACAATGTCTTAATTATTGCTGTCTGTTAAAACTTCTTGAAATCTGACAGCATTTATTCTTCAGCTTTGTTCTTTGTTAAGTGTCTTTGCTAGTTTTGACCATTTGATTGTTTCCATAAATTTTAGAATTAAGCCAGGCATGGTGGTGCACATCTGTAATCCCAACACTAAGGAGGCTGAAGCAGGAGGATCATTGTGAGTTTGAGATCAGTCTGGGCTACAAAGTGAGCACAAAGCCACTCTGAACTGCATAAAGAGACAGTGTCTCAAAACGACCCACCCACAAAAAGTTTATAATTAGCCTGCCAAGTTCTTGAAGCTAACTTTTAGTATTTTGATGGGTATCTACAGAATCTATAAATCATTATGCTAAAAACTGGCTTCTTAACAGTATGTGTTCTGGTTTGTATCTAGATGTGATGTCATCACAAAGTCTCATGAGGCCATAAGTGAGGCTAATGAGATGTGCCTGGATCATGAGTGTGATGCGGGATTAGTCCACTGATGGGTTATAGCTGGGTGTGATGTCAGGAGGCGAAGGCTGGTGGGAAGAGGAGGGTCACTGTGGGGTGCCCTGGAATGGTCTGTCTCCCTCCTTCTCCCTTGATCTTTGCTCTGCTTCCTGCCTACAGTGCTATAATATCTTTCTCCTCTGAATGCTATCCACCCTACCCTGTTGTCAGCCCACAGTGCAGTGGACTGAATGAATCCTCTACAAATTGTGAGCCAAAATAAACATTTCCTCCTTTAATTTGTGGGGTCAGATATTTTGTACCAGTAATGAGAAAGTGACTGAATTGCAAAACATGTTATATTTCTAAATTTATTTATGCCTTACTTGTCACAATATACTTTGTAGATTTGGTGTTTAGCAATACCGTGTATCTTTTATATGACTAATTTGTAATGATTTGATGCTTTGTTTTATTATAAGTTGAATAATTTTAATTAAGAATCATTTGTCACTATATATACAAATAACTTGTATAAGCTAACCTTACTAAATTCACTTACTTCTTAAAAAGTAAATTCATTTATTATATAAGTAATTTGTATTTTATACAACCTTTTAGTCTACAACTAATGAAAAGTTTATGTTTTCTTCTCTAATCCTCGTACCTTTTGTGTCTTTAACTAGGCATTGGCATTGACTAGAATTTCTAGTAGAATGTTGAAAAGAAGTAAAATTATCATACCTTGTTATTTCATCTCTGATCTCAGAGGAAAGCTTCCACTAGTTTACCATTAAATATTATGTCTACTATAGATTATTGTATATATCTTAATATCAGATTAAGAAATTATGTAGCTGATTTCACAGATGTATCTAGCACATCAACATTCATAAGAACTAAAACCTGGAAACAAAGCATTTCTCAGTAGAATAGGTGGGTAAATGTGGTATACCCATGCGATGAAATGTCGTAGCTCTGTACTCAGCAAGATGATAATTATTACTGACATAATGTTTAGAAAGAGACAATGCATGCATAAGGGAATATCTCGCATTTGGAGAGATTTTTGTTACAGCATGGCAGCCATCTGCAAGCTTTGGCTAATGAGTTGATTAAGACACTAGATATCAGTGTAACTGTTCCTATGAGAAAATATTTCATTACCTTATCACTCAGTCTCAACCATATACCATTGTCATTATGTATTTCACCCATTAAATTAATAGTGGCTGTAGTAGACCCTTCAGTGACCATCAGTGTGTCATACTACTGTATTAACCCCTCTCCCTGAGGGCAAGCAGAACCCATGACTTTCTGCTAGCAAGTAGAATATGGTAAAGGCTGTGGGATGGTCACTGCTTGAGCAAGTTATATTACATTAGACTACATCCTAACAGCCAAAGAGGGAGATTCTCCTGTTCATATTGAAAAAATAAGCTGCTATGTTCTAAGAAAGCCACAGGAACTGCTGGCGACCTCTAGAAGCAAAGAGTAATATTGAGTGACAGAAAGAAAACAGGACCTCAGCCCAATAACTACAGTGAAGTCATGTCTACCAAGAGCCACATGAGATTCTAACAACTATAGGATCCCAAATTCTAGAACCCAGTCATGGCCAATATCTTGCCATAGCTTTGGAAAATTCTAAGCAGAAAATCATACCTGGACACCAAACTGTGGAAAACATAAGACAACAGATGCATGTTGTTTTAAAGCATGTGTCTGTGGCAGCAGTTTACACCACAACACATAACTAATACAGTTGCATTGTTTGTCACTATACACGTCTTTCCACTTTGGGGAAAATGTGGTTATGGACACAGAACATCAGTAACATCTTTTTGAATCTGCCATGTGGACTAGCGTCCTTCTAAACCTGAGCATAACTGACCCCCCTGGGTCCTGCTCATCCCTTTACCTTCTTATTCTCTTTTCCTGTGTATTTCTCTGTCTTGGTTTAGTTCTCTTTTACTATCACACCTTCCTTAATCTTTTCCATAGAAAATAGCCACAGGGATGACATTGTTGAGACCTTACACATCTGAAAGATATTTCATTCTACATTTCTATGTGATTAAGCAGTTGGTTTGGATATAGAATTCTAGACTGGAAATAATCTTGAAGGCACAAGATTATTCCACAAAAGTTGCTATTGAAGAATCAGAGGAAATTCTGATTCCTTGTACTTTGTATATGACCTGTTCCTGTTCCTCCTCTATAAAGATATTTAAGATTCTCTCCTTGTCCACGTGTTCAATATGTCTTGATGAAGATCTGCTTTCATCTGTATGCTGGGCTCTCAGTGAGCCTATGCAATCTGGAAATTCAAGTTTTTCAATCCAAGAAAATTATCTGAGTCAGCTTCCTCAACTTTTTCTCTGTTCTCTCTTTTCAGAATTCTTATTGTCTGGGTGCTGAACTATTTACCTGGTGTGTCAATGTTCCCTACAATCTGAAAGCATCTACCTAACACACCCTACAATTGGCAGTGTGGAACAAATAGCCTAAATTCAGATTTCAGTTTATATTCTCACCATGCTCTATAAGCAGTTAGCAAACATATCATGTCCTTATTTCGCTGCATTTTATTCCACTTGGTCTTGTTTCATCTGATGATGCCCTGCTTCTAGTGATTTCTAACCCTCTTTCCTTCCTCACTATTATAGTCAGTGTTTACAAGGGAATAAATTTAATACAGGACACACAATTTACAGGATTATTTTATAATATTCACCCAAAGAGTCAAATGCAAAAAAGTACAGAAGATATGCCCACACACTAGAGACACAAAGAATCCAGCTAGGACCTAAATCCCATGGCAATGTCCTCCATGAGTCCACCAGGAAGCCTAGAACCCATGACAATGCTTCATGCAGGTCTGTATCAAGGATCTGCTCTGGGAAGGCCCAAAAGCCAGTGGTAGAAGCTAGAAAGTCTGCACCAGTTGGATGAAGATCTGTGCCAGCAGGCTGAGAGAGCAACAATAAAGGTAAGTTACCAGAGCTTCACCCTGCAGTGAATCAGCTTGAGTTAGCTTAAGCAAAACAAACAAGAAGAAAAAACAAAGCCATGATGAAGAAACTTACTGGGAAGACGCAATCAATAGCAAATGCAGATTCTGCCAGGCTTCAGAAACAGTCGAGGCTTGGACAATGTCTAAGCTGCATCTCCATCTCCTGTCTCTGCTTTTCTCTGGTGTCTTTATTCTTGTCTCTTAATGTTTTATCCATATGACAAAAATATTACCACCAAAAACTTGAAAATTTTACAACATACTGCTTCAATCAGGTAATAAGCTGACTCAGCTTGCTGAATCCCAAATTTCCATGTCCTGGAAAATGGCTTTGACTAGCCAAGCTCAACCTGGATTTGAACTTGGATTTGTAACTGCAGACACAGAATCAGGCTCACAGCGCAATAGTGCTAGTTGCACAAATGGAAGAAAAGGACAGCTCAAAGATTATGGGTGCCGGTGCCCAGAGGCAATCCCACAAATGTTCCCTATAGAAAGCCTTCTTTTCAAGACATAGGTGGTGTTGAAATGGTGCTTAACAAGTAACCTTTGCACTTCTCTGAGACCCTGTATGTAGCTAGATCCCTCACATGACTAAATGACATTTCCAGCATTCAAATCCTATTGGCGTAAAGTACAGCCAAGAGTATGACAACCAAAACAAGAATTGGGTTAAATCACTAAAAATCTATTTTTCAAATTCATAGTGTATCATCTGGTAAAACTTCAGTATATTTTTAAAGTAATAACTATTTTAAATAAAGAATGGTTTAATACAGATAAATCCCAAAATACTTGCTTAGTAATTAGCCTGTACCCCATTTAACAGATAATTTCCAAAGTTCTGTTTCACTGGATGTGTAGACCTCAAAAGGGTTGAACAGAAAAGAATGTCCATTCCTAAGTGAATGCTATGCTTCCCGACTACATCATAATTTGATACAGGATAAAGGAGACCTTCAAAAACTTTAACTCCAATGTTAATAAAAGCAGGAGAAATATGACTTTGTGTCGGCCTTCTTTTTACTCATTGTAATTGCAATGCTGGGTTCTTAGGTCTTTCTGAATTCTTTTTGGTTTCTCATGAGTCATTTAATATTTCACTCACCTTTTGCTTTGTTCTTGATTCTTCTTTTAGTCACTGCTTTCTCTTCCTATTGTTGGCTCTCTTCAATTTTTTGTTGAGATGATTATCTGAAAGAAAAACAGAATTTCTTCTAAAGAAAGCAAAACTCTAACTTGCAGTTGTGAAAAGTATTTCACACTATTTTTGTATAATTACTCTCATTTTCTGTAGTGGAGCAGCTGAGAAAAATTGCTCTAATTGTGTAATTTTCTGCAACTACTCTGGGACAAAAATCTGGGTAATTGGATTTTTTTTAACTAACGAGTTGTCACAATTGGATAGTTCTTAAACTATTTGTGCTTATGCTTCAGAAATTTTCAGTGGATGTACAGTGTATTTTAAATGTTTTGCATCAGCTTGTGGTCTCAAATTTGATTTATTTTAACTTGGAATTTTAAAATAGATTGACAACTCTGATTATACATTGTCTTCAGTAAGCGGACCTTTGCTAAGTTTCCTAGCGTGTTCATCCCCACCCCACACTCTGCTGTTGCCATGGGAGCCAAAATCCTGGAAAGTGTAACTCCAGCTCCCCAGTGGCTCTATTTCCCAGAGTGCTTTGCTGTTACTATGGAAATGACTGCCCATTAATCTTGTTGTCCTTTCACTACCAAAGCACCTTTAACTGTCTCAAGCAATCAAGTGATGTTACCTACTACAGAGAAAGAAAAGAGAAGACTGTTTCCCATTCTACAACTGCAGCACTGATTTTAATCAAGATTTAATCAAGGAGCAGAAGGAACTAAAGCTACTCCAACAGCTCCTTTTAAAAATGTACAAAGCAGGATCCTTCTGATTTAGAGACATCCCCTTGTTCATGCCCTTGTTGGAGACCTCTGAAAAGGCACACTACCTATTTTTAAAGCCACATTTGTGTTTCATATACATTACAAAATAACGTGGTGGAGTTAGGCTGGCAAGTGGCCACTTACTGCTACTAATGAGAAGAATGCAATGCCTGAAGAGAGTGCTTTTGGAAACAGTCATAAGAACAACCTAAATAACTGGCCTACTAACTTGAACAAATATTATTATCCTATGGAAGTTGGAGGGTGGTAAACATGACTCAAAAGAAAATTAGCAAACAAATCAGAAATAATTTGATGAACTTTGCATCTTCCTTCTATTATAAGTCAGGCATCTGAAATTTTAAATTTGGCTGCATGGTCATTTATACAAAATGAAAACAGGACTTACTGGTAATTCTGGAAGAATTTTCCAAGTCATTAGGGAGAAAAATATTTGAAAAACAAATGAATATTTATTTGACATTGCTGGATCTGAGCTTAGAACTGTGGGATGATTAGACAGGTTCTGGCAAATATAATGTGCCCAAAAGATACTTTCAAGAAATAGGAAATTTTAAGTGGTATACACATGTGGGGGATCTAGCTGATAACAAGAACACAAAAGGCTGCTTTGTCTCTGAAAACAATCAAGTTGTATTAATGTTGGGTGAGCAAGAAAAGGGAAGTATCATAGTAAAGAAATGAGAGTAAAAAACTAGGCACATCCCCTCCTTTCCAAGGAGCCAGAGGGAAAGGGACGGTTGTGAATCTGAGCGATCTAAACAAAGTTCCTTCTTGTTCTGTCACTCCACTCAGAAGCAAAAAAGATGAACAGATGAAATAAAGGTGACACAAAACTAAGCAGATTTGCTCAAATATCAGGTAGGAAAAATGTATATCCATAAATTACCACTTCTACGATGGCTAGGAAATTCTTCCTACAAAAAGCAGATCCTGGAGATAATTTAGAATGAGAGGGGGCAGATCAGTTTGGTATGATTTTATCAAAACATAAAAAAAATATAAAGTGACTGCTTTTCAGCATTTGAATATGATTCCCTATCTTCCAGTAATCTGACTGGTTAAGGAGGAAGCTGTGCTGTCTTCTCCATGGAGTTTGTTCATCTTTGTCTCCTTCAGGATCCTAGGGCTTCTGTCTCAAAGTGCCACAATATCTGTGTCTAACAAGAAGAGAAATTTATTGTTTTACAATTCAAGAATCTGGAAGTCTGAAATCAAGACACGAGCAGGGTCATGCTCCCTCTGAAATCTGGGAGAGAAAATCCTTCCATGTTTCTGTAGGTCTGGACATGCCAGCAAGCCTTGGCACCTGCACAATCCCTGTTATCACATGATATGACTCTCTTTACATTATCTGCCCCCTGTGCTGCTTCTGTGTTCAGATTTCACTCTACAGGGCCGAACACAGTGGTGCATGCCTATAATTCCAGCACTTGGGAGGCGAGGCAGGTGGACCAGTAGGAGATCAAGGCCGGCCTGGGCTACATACCTAGACTCTGTTTCAACCACTCTCCTCCCATTCTTTTGCTCTACTTGTAAAGCCATCAATCATCTTGAATTAGGATCCCACATACACACACAGAGAAACATTCAGCATGACATCATTTCTGTTAATTATATCTACAACACACTTACTTCTAAATAAGATTACATTCAAAGGTAAAAATGGTTACAGCTTCAACATATCTTTCCAGGGGCGCAATTCAACCCATAACATCTTTTTCAGAAATAATATAAAAAATATATGCAGGAAATTAGTGAATAATTATAAAAGTCAGCTATTGGATGTCATTATTCTTTTGTGCCATCCCACCTCCTTTAGTTTGCTGACATACATGTTTATGGAATTATGTGTATTAAGGCTCAATTCTCATGCCCATGAAGCTACACATGAGATAAAAGATTGATGGTGATAATAGTGATGATAGCAATAGTAATTGCAACGATGGTGATGACAGCCAACACTTATTGAAGGCTTATTAGGAACCAAGTGGTATTATAAATGATTCACAAGTATTAATGCATTCATTCATAATCACTCCACAAGGAAAGTTCCTATTATTGTCCCCACTTTGTAGATGATAAAACTGAGGCCCACAGAAGTTAAATAACTGGTTTGAGATAAGTTAGCCAGAAGAAGTAAGCATAGCCTCACTTTCTGCTCAAAAGACCTCACCAAAGCTATAAAACCTGCAGCTCCCTAACTTAAAGAATGATTCCCACCCATCCAGTTCTCCAAAAACGAATGCAAGCAGGAACTACCTCAATAGTTTCATGTTTCTTGACTTCAGTTCTAATTTTCCTGCTCATATATAAAGAAACATGTATGGACATTCCCAGGCCAGTATCACTGTGAAACAACTCAAGGGCATCTCAGTTCACACTAGTCAAATCCCAAATGCCATGTTTCCTCAGCCTTATTTATATTACTTTTATATGCATGGAGTGAATTAACTTCATGTCAAGTGTTTTTTTTAATAGAAAAAAAAAGGAATTCTGGGTCACCAGAGTAGGAGTAACTCAGTTACAATGCATGTTAGCTGAGTATGATGGGGCACGCCTATATTCCCAGCACTCAGAAGACTGAGGCAGGGAGGTCTGACACAAGTTCAAGGCCAACCTGGGCTATATAGTACATTCAAGTTCAACCTGGACTATGTATACCCCGATCCTCTCTAAAAAGAAAAGAATTTTTAAAGTGTGTATTATTTGTAGATTATTAGTCACCTATGTCTAGAAGTGTCAGAGTGATTTATAGTGATTAAGATATCAATAGAGACAGATCTTACTCTCATGAGATTTCTTGGTGAATACAGGAGCATCCTGGTTTGACTTGTGTGTCCGTCCATGTGTTTAATTAGTTCCACAAGGCAACAACAAAACAAATTATTTGTGGTAAGCTCATCAGATCTTCAGTGTCCTAAAACAACTTTATGTTGAAGCAGCCATCCTCAAAATATGAAATTACATACATGCACTTTTGTCTCATCAAGGGAGCCTGAGTGCTTGGGGACAGAAACACACTGTGTAATATAAACATTTTCCTATAAAATGTAAAGTTTACCACATCACAGGCATTTAATTTATGAAACAACAAAGTTGATCAAATAAGCAAAAAGCAGCCTAATTGCAATGTCCAGGGTTTTCATCCTGAAATTTGCCACTTTAGGGGAAAGATTTCATTGACCGATGCTAATCTATATCATAACTTGACTCATCTCTGTCCCTAGCATCTTGTGACTTATGGTAGCAGTAAATAAATATCCAAAAATGCCTCTCTACAAGGAATAAATTGTAGATCTATTCACATACAGAAGTACATTTTCAGATAACAACAAAAAGAAATGTTTTCTGAATTTAACATGGAAATAATGACTATGGTTACAACTTCAGATAAACTTAAAATCTAAAAAGTTGGAAATTGAGAATAACTCATCAGGACCACTTCTCTCAGATCAGACCTGAGGCACATACTTTGCAAAATTATGCTTGTTCCCCTTTAGATGAATCCTTACCTTCTCTCACTGCTTCTGGATCAATAACTAATCACATAACCCCAACAGAAAAATCAGTCTCTGCACTGGAAAGAAAGAGCTTACTCAGCAAGAGGACTGTAGAACCCCCCACCATCCAAACCAGGGAACTGTGTAGAAGAGAAAATTCTAAAATTGTTAGGAAGAGGGTGAGGAAAAGGAGAGAAAGGCCTAAATATTGACCTGGATGGGGAGAGATTTTCGATATGGAAACCTGTTGAATACGCCACTGATGTTAGTGTGCTTCTGAATCGGTTCCCTGAAGATTAGATATGGTATGGCCACCAAGTGAATGGAGAGGACAAAGGTGTCTTCTCACAATATTGAGGAAGGTATCAGAAGAGGGTGAAGAAGTTAGGATAAATGTATTATTTGCAATCAGACTATATTTTCTACACTTGATCTTAGCCAAAAGGCCGAGAAGTGCTATTTTCTAAGAAGGTGCAGAAGGCATGCCTATGACTACGTCAATAAGGAGAACGTTAGTGAGTAAGACTGACATCCATTAGGCATGATAGGCCTAGTGCTTTTAAGGGCTCACAAGGTTTTCATCATTTTTAAATGATATGGAAAAACTGACTTTAGTTTAAAAATATAATTTTTAATATTTTTGGATATAGGAAGGCATGAGTGCCTAGGTCCCACCAAAGTCCTACAGCAGCTCTGCCAGTAAGAGGACACTGGCATCTCTGAGACCCTCCATGGCAGTTATCTTGTGGTACTGAA